GGACCTCGGTTTCCGAGTGGTCTTAGTAGCCAAACTTCTATATCACTAACTGTCAACACCGAGGTTGTCAGATCGAGCCCTGCACGTGGCAGGTGCATTCGACTCAAATTTAAATTAACTGGGATTGTCAATTTTCCTGCCGAAGGTGGGTGGTTCTCTCCGGGCACTCCAATAAAAACTGACCGCCATGGAATAGCCAATAGTGCTGATAGTGGTGTTAAACACCAATCAATCAAATAAACATTCAATTAATTTATATTAAGGATGTCAAAGAGAACACGTACTACACTCAAGTATCGATCGGTATGATATGTAGTGTACAAACTGTCCCAAAAATTGATGACACATCAGGGAACTTTGTTTAAATACACATTAAATATCTTAATTGTTGTTTCATTTGTGCATGTCCATTATATTTCTTCCAATCATATGAAAATTCATTGTGATTTTATAGCACAACGGCACATTGCAATGAAATATTGAATGTTCATATAAATCTACATATCTATTTTTATCTCATATAAATCACCTACAGTTTATTCAAGCCAGGACTAGAACCATATATATGAAGTTTTATATCTGCCTCTTTCTATTTTGAGATATCATTTTGCATATGGTGTTCTCATCCAAAAAATGTTTAAAGATAGATAAATTTCTTTAGAAAACAAGTTTCGAGTTTGAAATAAATCAGTAAAGACCCGTCTAAATAGCATTTAATTGATAAATTCAACAACACTTACCGTCATCTTGATGATATTTTTTCGCTTAATAATCAAGAATTTTCTATATTTACTACCGAAATTTATCCAAAAGAACTTACTTTAAATAAATCAAATATAAACGCCAATAACTGTCCTTTCCTAGATTTAGATGTTTCAGTTTTACACGGGAAACTCTACACTAAAATTTACGACAGAAGGGACGATTTTTCGTTTCCTGTTGTTAATTTTCCATTTTTGGACGGTGATGTTCCTAGCTTTTGCACCATCTTACGGTGTTTATATATCACAACTTGTTCGCTATGCCCGTGTCTGTTGTGACGTTTTGGATTTCAATGAACGTAATCTATGTATTACTGGTAAATTATTAAGTCAGGGATTTCGTTACTACCGATTATTTAAAACATTTACTAGTTTCTTCAACGGATACAAATATTTGGTTTGGAAGTTTGGTTGTAGCACATCCTAATTTTTACGGAGACGTTGTTTACCGAGCCCGGAATATTAGATACGATCCGGTTAAACTTATCGATCCTTTGAATAAACTTATTCTGAAAGGTTACCAATTCAACATTGTAATTAGATCTCTGAATATTGTTTTATTGGTATTAATATTGATTTTGTTATCAGTAAATTAAATTCAAACTAAATATCATTTTTATATACATTATGCACATTTATGCCTCTACAATCTGTCGATACCTGTATCTTGGCATTGCACAAGGTCATGTTTTTCTCGGACATTTTTACACTAAATCCATTGGATTTTGGGTGTGTACGGATTGATATTTTAGTCTTAGATGACTTTTGCCTTATTTTTTTTATTAGTTGTTATTGGCTTTGAACTAGCTGTCATTTACTGCGAGTACTTTCAGATCTGTACATAATGTCTATTTCGTTGTGGGGATGTATAAGTACCCTGCCACGTCCGGTCTGTGTTTTAGTTAGATGTATTTCTGCTTTGTATCGATCTGATGAGTTAAGTCATTTTCAACTGATTTTTATAGTTTGTTCTAATGTTGTACTGTTACACCAATGTCCCAGGTTAGGGGAAGGTTTGTGCGTTCAAACTAATTTAACCCCTCCTTATTCTGTATGTGCCTGTCCCAAGTCAGGAGCCTGTGATTCAGTGGTTGTCGTTTGTTGCTGTATATCATATTTGTTTTTTCTTTATTATTTTGTACATAAATCAGGCCGTTAGTTTTTTCGTTTGAATTGTTTTACATATGTCACTTCGGGGCCTTTTATAGCTGACTATGCGGTATGGGTTTTTCTCATTGCTGAAGGCCGTACGGTCACCTATACTTGTTAATTTCTATGTCATTTGGTCTTTTGTGGAGAGTTGTCTCATTGGCAATCATACCACATCTTCTTATTTTTACATCTAATTTACCACTTTTTAAACTATTTCTTTTATGTTCCAAAGTGTAATTAACTTTTTCATGAAACGTTTTGCCTGTTTGATTTGAGTAAGCAGTTAAGTTTTACATCGGAATTATTGATATTCAGATGTTTTTAAAATAAAATGTATAGAGGAATACCAGCATGTCATATAATTGGTAAATGTTACAGATATAGGCATCATACATTAAGCATTTCAGCATTGATAATACACCTTTAAAATCTAAGAGGAATTTAGTAAGTTCTCCTGGAATTGTTAAGTTAAATGACTGTTTATGTACAACACAATATACTTTATATACCTAGGATTGGATTTATTTAAAATAAATCATTGATATAAAAAAAATATTTTAATGATTTGTAATAAATATTAATTTTCTATCCGGCATGCTGCAGAACTAGTTTTGAACTGGTTTTCACTTCAATACATCAAAATATGTCATACATATAATATGTAATAGATAATAAAGTTGAAATACTAGAGTTAGAAGATAATGCTGTTATTGTAATGCAGCTTTAAGATATTTTTTGTGTAACCCTTCTTTACCTTTTTATACCTAAATACTTAAAATTATTACACATTCTCAAAAAAGAAATATTTTTTTAATAGTTTACCAAGTTTGTTATTCAGGTTTGTTAAATACGTGTATATTAAAGTTAGTTCTTGACAGATTCACCTCTAAGCACCATTTAGTACATATTTTTTGGATAAATAATGAATCCTTCTAGTCATACTTAACCGATTATATTATCTTTTTATTCTTCCAAGGTCGTTAATTTTAGCTACGAATCTAACGTATGAAAATTTTCATATAACAGGTTTTCATGAGTAAAATGTCATCTGAAATAACCGTGTTGTCTTTCGATCTTCTAAACATTAGATTAGTTAATGTACTTTTAAAATATCAACATCCTTTCATTTTCTCATTAATATATATGTCAACGCAGTTGTTGTTTGATTAAATTCATGTTCAATTAACCGAAGGACAGGTGTGTATATGTTCCAGCCATGTTTATAAAGATTTGTATTAAAATGTCAATCCTCATGCATACAATTGACAACTATAAAGTAGCACGAACGTCATTCACATAAAACAAAACCAAACCTTTAAACGTTCTATTTCTGTCATGTGGAATGAACCGAGTTAAATAAGATCCGGGTAAGATGTAGTTAAACTATGAACTGACAACGGGCATAAACAGTATCAAATAAATACTGAATTGACGTGTAATTTAAATGGACCATGTTAACTTTTAATGGATTTGTAGTTTTAATTTACACAATTCAAATTCATGTTCACCTATTTGACTCCAATTCTCATATTTGATGTATAACATACTAAAACGTATATCCAAATTACAAAAAGTGAAAAAAAAAAAACAATTAACAATGCATGGACTTGTTATAATGTATTCGCACTTCGTGTGTATTTTAGAATAGACTCCATCTAATCAACCATCGGGATGACCTCCGAAAAATACCGATGATCTATGACCCTATTTACACATAAATATAATTCTAAATACACAGAGAAACTGTGACAAGCGCAATTGTATAAAGACGATTTTTTTCTGTGTCTGTTTTGATTTCATGTCATAGATTAAAAAATGTAAATCTGTACCTGTACATGAAAGAATGTGTATGGGTCGAATAAGTCAACGAAATGGTTCTTTCAGGAGGGTTTCAATGTTGACATTATTTTCTCTTTTTTAGCAAATGCATGAAACATTTCCAGCTAAGGGTCACATTGAATGTCGCATGAATACGGATTCAAATGAGGTTAGATTATTGGCTTGTAGGCCAATGAAGCATCAGCGATGTTTTGTTTGTGCTTATTTTAACAAAAATTAACCAAACTCACTGCTTGTAGCGAAGTATTATTTCAAATTACGCTTTTAAAATGTTTGAAACAAGCAAAATCATATTTTAATGTTACAAATCGTAGCTAATGTCCCATTAAATGGCCAGACTTCCATGTATCGTATCATACTAGAAGATACTTTTAACGAAAGTTCGTGATTTCCAAGTCAGATTAAAATGTTCAATGAATCTTAGTATACTTAGTAATAAGAACAAACATTTATTCTATTAACATGAGTTTTTCGGTAGGTGTTTCATTGATTTTAATCAAAATTTATTTTTTTCATATTTTCTTCTTTGTTCAAACTGTGTGTACTCAGGCAATTTATTTTGAAAGGTGTTTAATTTCTTTTTGTCTTGCTCCGTTGTTTTCCAGGTTTCACATCCATACAGTAGTACCGATATAACCAAACTGTTGAATAACTTGACCTTTGTTTTGAATGACAACACTGTTGATCTCCATATTTTCCTCAACCTGCTATATTGGACTTTGGTTTTCTTGAACCTGTTTTTTTTTTCTATATCATTGTCACAGCCACCTTTTGATGTTACTATTCTCGCATAGTAAAATTTTAAACCAATATTACAATTTTTTACAGTGTTAACAGGGGAGGTTAGATTTTAACCCTGTAGATTTCCCACTGTTACGTCCAATCAAAGTCCATCGTTTATTAAATAACCTTTTGTAATGAACAAATTAGACAAAGATCCAATCTAAACCATCTAACAATAAAACAATTTCTAAAAATCACGTTTCGACTTTTAGTGTAGCATTAACTTATTCATATGTAAACCATGTGATAAATGCAATATTACACAATAAGAAGACAATGAATTTACACTTAATGGTGTTTTCACTTTAATTTTTTTTTAATTATTCTGATTTTTAACGTGTTTTGATGATTTTATAGTAACAATTGAACCATAACACGATAAAAACAAACTATCCTTTCGTACTTTTACGTACTTTAGACAAGCATGATTGACAATACCTATTGCAAACATATTTAGAATTCAGTCATTTAATAAGATATGAGGAAAATATTGTGTTTTCTCCTTTTTCTTGAATTATTTTCCCAATTCAACGCATTTTTTGGCTTACGAGACGGAGGGTAAGTACTGGTCACTTTGTAATTATATTCTGGATACATTATTTGTGGGATTAATATTTTCTTGTATTTCGTGGGTACAGTTGTTAACAAAGAGCACATGAACTAAATAATGTTATGCAAATTATTTTAAATCGTTAAATCAATTATAGCATGAAGATATAATGTGTCATCATGAAACGAAATTTGGTACCCACGAAAAAAAAGAATTCGTATGGGTTCTTCATACATATAACATACAATGCATGGCCATAAGTATTCATCACTTGTGATTTTTCACCAGTATATATTTCACACAAATATACGGTTTAAAACAAATATTTCATGGGAATTTAATCAACTTGGTACTAATAGAACCAGAATTGTCACAGGCCTATTTTTTTATTTTTTTATTTTTTTGTTGTGGGACGTTTTCATTTTCTGATGATATAAACACATGTCAAGTATTTGTTTGTTTGTTCATAAATTTGTAATACATTTCAACTAAATAAAATTCAAAAAAATTATTATACGTGTTCATATCAAGAAAAAAAAATTAACAACAAAACTATGATCAAATAAACTACTATACTTTAGACAATTTTGTGTCTTTTAATAACTAGTTTGTAAAATTCTAACAGTAAATTGCCTTCAAAATAATTCATTAAAATAAAGTGTTTTAGATGAAATATATAGCAAAAAAGGTCATGCGCTGTACAAGTTAACATGGTATGTTTCCTTTCTAATAACATAATGTTGAATTGTCCTATATGATTTGATATTTGGAAACTCCAAGTTCCAAATGAAATATCATTTATTGAAATATATTCCAAAATTAAGGGGCCTCGGTGGCCGAGTGGTCTAAGTAGTTCATCTAATCATTAATAAAAAATAACTGTGTATGCCGGCGAGGGACATTCATTCACATAGTAATACGGTATACAACTAAAAGAAAAAATTCTAAAGACAAATAGTCATTACGGTTCAGTTTAGCTTGATATATAGCTGAAGCCCAAAGAATGAAAAAAAAAATTAGCTCGCTGATGAATTTGTTTGTATTGCCACCGTCCGTTATGATTATTGCATTGTAGTTTATATTGGTACATTTCCATGAAAGATCTTGACTAGATGGTTTGTTCAAAAAGATATAAAAATCCATCGTGACATACACAATTGTCCCCCTTACTAGTCTTTTAACTTTTTAAAACCTAAAAATACATGTTATTGGCTTTGTTAATGTGAATTACTTATAAACGACACATATAAGTTTTATTATGTTCTTATTCAATACTTCAAACGAACATAAATAATTTACAAATAAAGCTCAACACCGTTATATGGTTATCAACTCGCGACGACAGCACATAAGAAACAGCCTTTGTATTAAACCCTCATTCCAAAGCCATACATCGCCGTCATATACTGTTCAAAAGCCTTTGTATTAAACCCTCATTCCAAAGCCATACATCGCCGTCATATACTGTTCAAAAGCCTTTGTATTAAACCCTCATTCCAAAGCCATACATCGCCGTCATATACTGTTCAAAAGCCTTTGTATCTTCTCTCTTCTAGCTGTTACCTCTCTTTAAGCGCTGGATGTCTAGATTTTCTCGGAAGATCACATCATAGATTACACTTAACTATATCATGGTTGCTGAACTTATCTGGTGATTGTAAGTAGATAAATTGACTTGGCAAAGTTGTAATGAGCAGGTCTAGAGTGTTTTCCTCTCTTGTCGGGTGTGCTAGTTTTTCATCACTTGCTTCGTTCAGTATATCTATCAATGACTGATCGTCAATATCAGCAATACAAGAGTTGGTATCTTTGTTCATTTTTGTCTTTCTGTTGTTTTTAATGTAGTAAATCCCCAAGAAGATGTATTTGAGGATGACAAGTACGTTTGTCCTGTGCTTTTATCTGATATAATTGGTCTTTCAGTAAATATGTGAGCAGCTGGTGCATCTGGTGGTCTGTACCAGCTACCTATGAAATGAGGTTTTCCATTAATTGTGATTTTGTTCCAAGTTGCATTTGAACTATTATTTTATGTTTCTTTAATCACTCTGTAATGTTTATGTCATGTTGTTATTAATGTTATGCTCTTAATGGGCCCTTTAATTTGGAAATCAAAATATTGTATTGTATTGTATTGATTCCGATTCATTTTCAATCTTTTGCATTGTTACTGAGTCAATGTTGGATTTAACAAGCAGTATAGTCCCACCACCATTTGCTGTTCTATCGTTGCGGTAAACGTCATATCCTAATAAGTCTGGAATGAGTTCATTGGATTTAATACTGATGTCAGTTTTGGTAAAACATCTAGCATGAATCCATGTGTCACACTCATCGCACATGATAGCTTTATCTGATCTTCTCACAGTTTCCTACAGATTACACAGTTGTTTTTTGTAGGACCAGGGTTTAATTCGATGTGTTTGGATAATATAAATAGGGCACGAAAGGATATGTGTTGGTTCAATCTCTTTTTCATTCCATGGTGTGCAAGACATTAGCTTCAGCACTTGCTTCGTTGAGTATATCTATCTATGACTGACCATCGCTATCAGTCTGACATTATTTACTTGAATGGCCATTGTCAGAAAAATATAGTTTACACTATTTAAAGGATCATGTTATAACTTATCTTTTGCTTGATTTAATGTGATTTTCACATTAAATGATAATTACATGATACATATAATATATAGTATTAATTATACAGTGATTTCCAAGATATATTACATTAAAAATAAATGATTAAATAACTATACTCCATACCAGATGGTGTTTGAAAATAAATAAAATAGAATATTAACCCTCTCTAATACATAAAAAATAAACTACATCACTACTACATGTATATTTGGTATGTATGGCAGGCCGTTTTTATATTTATTTAACTATGATTTTCAAGATACCTTGTAAAGTTAATAATATATCCGATACAGTACAGTGTATGTATAAGATATCTCATATACTTTATGAGATCTCTTTATTAATTTGAAGTTAAATAATAAGATGTTTTTCGAGATTAAAATTTAAAAGCCATCTATAGCTCCATACTTCCAACTTGTTTATTTCATCTTGTATAACATTTCTATCGTTTGGAACTTTTATTATTCTAAACATCTTGGTATCGTTTGCGTATAGGTTAGAATCTGAATCTACTTGGTCAGGTAATTTGATACCACCAATGTTACTATACCGAGTACCAAACATATCTTAGGGTCTGGATGAGTGTCCTTACTATATCGAGTACCAAACATATCTTAGGTTCTGGATGAGTGTCCTTACTATACCGAGTACCAAACATATCTGAGGGTCTGGATGAGTGTCCTTACTATACCGAGTACCAAACATATCTTAGGGTCTGGATGAGTGTCCTTACTATACCGAGTACCAAACATATCTGAGGGTCTGGATGAGTGTCCTTACTATACCGAGTACCAAACATATATGAGGGTCTGGATGAGTGTCCTTACTATACCGAGTACCAAACATATCTGAGGGTCTGGATGAGTGTTCTTCATTTCTTTATTCTTTAATCTTTTATATTATTTTTCTTTATTCTTTATTTATTTTGCCCATTATTCTCTATTCTTTATATTTCAGCACCCCATTTTTCTCTCATATTTAGTTGCTTTGCCTATTTTTCTCTTTTCGTATTTTGTTTGTCCTTTATTCTGCCCATTTTACCCATTATTGATTTATTCTCTATTCTTTATATTTCAGCATCCCATTATTCTCTAATATAAATTGCTTTGCCTATTTTGCCTATTCTTAATTTTTTTGTCCTTTATTCTGCTATTCTCTAGAGTGGGTGGCGCATATTCGCCGTGGACACATTTTCGCCGTTTTTGCTATTTTTTCTGTAAATTTCGTGTGCCTTTACCCAATACTTGCCTAAAAAGATGCTAAACGCTGTTTGTAATGTTCGAACTGTTGATATTCCTCTTTACCCCATTTCCAATGTTATTCGCACATATAAAGAAATACGCAGTAGTTCAGTTTGAACGATTTTGGCAATTATGTAAGATTTATATGGCACGCATGCGCAGTCATAAAGTAAATATCTGTTAGAAAAATCGTATAGGAATGATCTCTCAAGCTAATTCATGTAATTGCAAACAATTGTTTTTATAATATACCAGGATAATGAGGATGGTCATATGATACATTGCGGCGAAAATGTGTCCCCCATGGTACAAGAACAACTTGATTTCCTCTTGAGTTTGCGTTCATTTTTAAAACATTTAACCAATGTTTTGAAGAGAATTCCTTTATCATGTTTATCAAACATTTTTTTCATATAGTAAACTTTCTGAAACCTACATAAAAAGTTTCAAATATTCGAATGTAGGTCGGATGTAGGTGGAAATGAACGAATTTTGCGGCGAATATGCGTCATCCACTCTATTTCAAGTTGTAAACCGCACCCATCCAGACCCTCATATCGTTATTCATAAAAAATAACCCGTGATACAGTTAAAAAAAACATTTGAAGGAGCAATAAGCTCTAATAACGTCTGATGGTATATGCCCTAATGGGTCACGTCCACGGGAAAAAATTAAGTAACTGCAGTGGCGGATCCAGGGGGTGGGGAGTTCCGGGGGTTGGAACCCCTCTTTTTTTGACGATCAATGCATTTGAATGGGGACATATAGCTGGAACCCCCTCCCCCCCCCCCCCCCACCATATCCTGGGTTAGGACCCCCCTTTTATAAATGGCTGGATCCGCCCATGAACTGTTAACATGATATCAAAAGTCTGGTGCAGATGAAAGAGCAGAAATGTAATTACATTCCCCTTCCCTTATCGTATCCTTTATATTGAATGTCATATATATTCATTAGCGCTAATGCAGTAACTATGATAATGTTGTAAACAAGTACATACAAATGTTACAAAAAGAGCAGTGACAGTGGATATAGTTTTATCTTTTAACGGTGAACAGGTGAACCAAATCATGTTTAAAAAAACTGAATTTATAGTTCAAAAGTTGTAGTCAATATGTTACAA